TACTTACCCTAATCATTACGTTAATTTAAATCCCAGTTAATAATTGTATCAAATTTTCAAGTTCACGGCCAACTTTGAATACTAACAAAATAATTTGCTTTGTCATAGAAAGCTACGGTAAAAATGGCATTTTTTTTTTGGGTGGGGGATGGTACACGCTAGTCATCTCTGTAAAATGGTATCACGATAATTTTACTTATCCAGCCTTATATGGTATTGTATAGTGCAACGAAGTTTTTTTTTCCTCTACTGAAAACGAAGACATTTTATGAAAAACTTGGAAAGTTTCTTAAATCAAAGATATTGTTGCTGTTTTTTTTTTATTTAGTTCATTCGTCATAAATTTCTCACTTTTCTTGCTATTGTTTGAAGATAAAAATCCAATATATATGTAATGGTTATCTTTATATATGTCTTTTAGGGTTACACTTTACTGACTTGTGTTAGTTTCGGAATGTAAAGCAACTTGTTGAAATGTTTTATTCTGTGTTGTGATTTAACTTAAAGCACGAATGATTATGCCTTTATTTTTATAATTATAAAAACGAATACCACGTGTATTACTAGATACCAATTTACCGAGTTAGGCCTAAATATTAGTACATGTATTATTAGACAAATATCAGTTTACCCTGCTAACCCTAAATGTTAATATGTATATTATTAAATAAGTATCAGGTTTATCCTGCTAAGCCTAAATGCTAGTACGTGTATTAAGCTCATTTTTTCGGGCCCGGCATGGCCAGGTGGTTATGGCGATTTAATCCCCATCCTACCAAACATGCTCGCCCTTTCAGCTGTGGGGGCGTTATAAATTGACGGTCAATCCCACTATTTGTTGGTAAAAAAAAGTAGCCCATCCAATAATAATTTTCCCTACTACCACTCACCAGCCTTCTCTACTTTGACTTTAGGTCAAGTAGTAATAATTTCCCCTACTACCACTAACCAACCTTCTCGACTCTACTCTGACTTTAGGTCAAGTAGTAATAATTTTCCCTACTACCACTAACCAACCTTCTCGACTCTACTCTGACTTTAGGTCAAGTAGTAATAATTTTCCCTACTACCACTAACCAACCTTCTCGACTCTACTCTGACTTTAGGTCAAGTAGTGATAATTTCCCCTACTACCACTAACCAACCTTCTCGACTCTACTCTGACTTTAGGTCAAGTAGTGATAATTTCCCCTACTACCA